AAAGAGAAAAAAATTTTATAAAAAAAAAAAAAAAAATATAAAAAAAAAAAAAAAATAAAATATAAAGAAAACTGAAATACTAAAAAAAAAAAATAAAGAGATAACTGAAATACATTTGTGTAGCATAATGGTAAACCTTGGCTCTCAAAGTTAGCACCAGCAGTGATTTTGTCAACAGATCCCGTCAGTGACAGCTACTACAACAGTAACAGACTTGATTATTGGTGCTGACTGATATATGAAAAGAGTGTTTTTTATCTTTCATAATATATTTTTCCAGTTTTTACAATTATGTCATTACATTGGGTTTCTAATTTAGAAATGGTGTTAAGAACCATTTCTGCCTTTGAGAGTTTTACAATGATTGATAATACTAATGTTATTATAGTAAGTAGCAATAATAGTAGTAAAATTATTTATATAGAGCTAAAAGTTTTTAATGGATAATATTCCTACTTATGTTTTTTTTTTATTAATGTAGTATTTGGGGCTGTTACACTGCTGAGGCCTTCTTGGATGACTACAACACTGCGATGTTAAAGTGCACGCCAGCCACACTCCTAGCATCTTGCACGGTAAGGATATCAGCATGCAAGAAACTAAATACATGTGTGTATTACGTAATACGCTAAATGAATACATGGAGGCATATAGCGCAACGGATACACTTTGGTCTTTCATTAAACAGAAATAGAAGGCTTGAGTGCAAGGCACTTTATCAATGTTGTCTTTATTAAGCCAGAAGTATCAGAGCGTACGTTTGAATGCTATTGCACTGATTACGATTACTAGCTACAACATCATGGAATACTGCCCCAGGGAGATGAGTATGTTTTATGTGAGCGTTTGAGCCTTGATTAGGGTAGTAATGTACAGCACATACAGCCGTGACTTGATGAACTATTTATTATGTCAGCGTAATGCTTAGAAGCCTCGTTGAGTTAAATTGTTATTGTTACTATTATTGTAATATGTAAAGTTTTTTATATTAATGTAAATGCTATTTATTATTATTATAATTATAATTATTTTATTTTTATTTTATTCAGGTATAAAAGTATACAAAAAGTGGCCAATGGCTAAAATTATTGCATATTAAAAAAAATATATTAATTAAATATTTTTATGCAATATCTATACATCAATTATATTACTTACATACCAACACTTTCTACTAGATTTATGCATTCTTTTTTTTTTTTAGCAGTGGGTGGAAATGTTATCCATTATTATCAATATAAATTATTTTATGCAATATCTATACATAGATTATATAACTTACACCAGCATTTTCTAGTAGTTTCATACATTGTTTTTTTTTTAGCAATGGGTGGAAGTTTTATCATTATTATTATTCTATGTAATATCTATGCAACAATTATATACCAACACGTTTTAGTAGGTTTATCTTGGTTTCTTTTAGCAATGGGCAGAAGTTGAGATCCAAGAGGAGACAGAGGATGGCAAGAAAATCAGCTCCAAAATAAGATTACCTGTACAGGTGAGATGGTGTAAAGATGATCTAAATGATTAGTGTTTGAGTCTTGACTACAAACAACCCCCCCCCCCACCTCCTGCCCCATTACAAACTTGAAATCTCTAAAAGTAGCTTCAACTACCAAGCTCCCATTATTCTCAGTAATCTTCCTGCTTCCATTAAAAACACCAGCTCTTTCCATTTATTTACACTAAAACTCAAATCTCACATTAACCTCCTAATCTCCTTTTTAACCAGTACCTACTATTTTTTATCTTCATTCCTGTTTCATATCACTTACTTTGTGTTTTCCATTACTTTTAATACTCTTTTGTTATTGATTTATCTAAGAGGGCCCCTTCATATCAGCCATGCTCAAATGGCTACTGACTTAAACTGTAGTTGAGTAAATAATAATTCTGTAAACTATTCTAGCGTGTTGTTTATTTCAGTGTTCATGGTATGTACAATCACTTCTCTTTGAACTGTGCGCCGAAATCAACCGTGTCGGTGGACACGCGCTTTCTAGGTATGTAACAGTAGTTTATACGCAACATCTTCGTGTATCAAGAATGGAAATAATGTAAAATGTCATCCACAAATGAATGCATAATCTAACCATAACGACAAAATTCTTATTTCTAAAGTGTATGCATTATTCATATTATGCGTATAGGATGTGTGATGAGGTCATGGGCCGGGGTCTTGCGTCTAGGTTTTCCATTTGATCTAGGCTAAGCTGGCTATCATGTGAGATATAATTTCTAAGAGCAGAGAAGCCCATTACATAAGCAATGAACCAGCCTTAAAAGCAGACTTTTGAAATGGAAGAACAAAGTTTACTTAGGAATAATACATGGTCCAAGAAATGAAATACATGCCATTGTGCTGGGATTCAATATATCTTTATTGAGTCATCATCATGAATGTTTTACTTCTGAAGTTCTGATTCACATATTTCTTCAAAATAATGAATGAAAATATCATAATTATGTAGCTTTGTCGTTTACTCACTATACAATTCAGTGTAAATATTGAAAACATCATAATCAATTGATGCTTTCTGTTTTCGGAGATTAAAACTTTAATTCAGCCTCATTGTAGTCAGGGCCCTTGATATCCTAGTACTCTAAATAAATATTCTGGCAAATGAAAGATGTGCTGTCTGTAATAAATTCTGGGAAAACCTCTAAAAATGGAATTAAAACACAGAATTGCTCATTAAAAAGAATCAGATAAAGTTGTCAACTTCTAGTGAGACATAAATCAAAAAACAATTTATTTTATTTTTTTTATAATTTACAGACTTTACTACAAAAATACTTAAATTGATTTCCAGAAAATTTTCAGAACTACACTATGCAAAAAATGTAGTCACAGTATTATTTATGTTTCTGTCTATTGGGGAGTAATAAATCAACATTAATATGCAGTTATTCAAATATTCAAGTTTGCTAGCTTAAACAAACAGTATATCTTAATTTGATTTATTTCTGTGTGGCAATACTATATTGGCTAAGGGGTGCAAAATAGTTAGAATCAGATTTAAGATTAATTCAGCTGTAAAGACCAACTCAGATAATGTTGTACACACAGCCTAATGCAATTCGTTGTTGGGTCTGGTCTGTGTGAGTTGAACACTGAAACAATAGTTCTGCGTGTTGGGGGAGAGTTGCGTCATATAATATTAAAATGTTTAACATTCTTATAATGTCCTAAAGACTCTCCCCAGCATAAGGCGGGTTGCACAACGCTGGTTGAGTTGGCCGTGTAGATAAATGCTCATGGACACATTCATTTATTTAAAAACCTTTTTTTCTTGTTAGATTACTTAGTACACTATACCTCTATTCTTTTATTAAATTTTGAGATATTTAGTTATTTCTTCTTTTTGAACATTGCTTTTCCTATAAAATATTAATTTTTTAGTCTTTTGTTCTCATTATTAATCATCTGATTTTTGTTCTATTTGTAGAGAAACAATTTGCAATTTGGTGAAGAAAGTTACAGATAGCATTGTGGATATTTACCAACAATTGTTGGACTCTAAAGAGGTGGTTATAAAACTATCCCAGCCAAGAGTACTTCAGATGCTGTTTGATCTACGCTTTGTTTCTACCATCATGACAGGAAGAGGAGATGATAAGAAGGTACAAATGGGTGGGGGTGGGCACAGGGTTAAATTTGTGTTGATAGTGGAGTAGTTATGTCTGGCGTTAGTGTGCGAACCATGCTAGTTTAAAATAACCGTAAACAACAACTTGGTACTGGGTTAGTGTAGCGTTTTTTGCTTTTCCATCAAACGCTTCTAACTTGTTCTGTCTAAAACTAGGCCTGGCACATACAAGCTACGGTGATTCTAACTTATAATATGTCAATAATAAAATAACTAATAAATAAAGCTGGTTAACTAATATATATAAACTGATAAATATGTTAAATATATGTATATAATAATGATTATGATAATGTTGATAAATGTGGTTAATAACATTTCCTTTATCATTAATAATTTAATACATTTTTTTCTTCTTTAGCGTTTGGTATTACAGTGGGGCGCTATTTTTTTAAATTATATTTTTCAATTAATTGTAGGTAGAACTAAGAGCAAGTTAATCAAGATTGATAGATTTTGTTGATAAATTCCAACTGTTAAGATTTTGTTTGTTTTATCATTAATAATGTAATTTAATACTTTTTTGCTTATTTATTAAATGGATTTTTTTTTCTTCAAACTCCTGTATTACAGTTATATTTAATTTAGTATAAAGGACCTGCTATGTATAAATTGTTGTTTAGAACAATCTAATCAAATCAAACAAAACCAGACATAAATATTAATCGACACTGGTAATTTCTAAAAAGATCATTCCATATATTGTTTTAATCATCTCATGTTTCTTTATAATAAATCACATTGATGTGACAGTGAACATTGCCATGTCTACAAAATTTGATATATAACCTGTATTTTAAATTTCAAGTGTTTTCACTCAAGCCATTCATCTTTAGTTGAAGAAAACAATTTCAAATGTATGGATCAATCATTTGATGTTTTCTTTCCATCACTGTGCAAGTCCCTTGGAACTACTCTGTTTTTGTCTGCCACCCATCAAACTTCACACTTGCCATCGATAAAGTGTCTACCGTATCCATTATTCATTTGATTTAGATTGGTTTCGATAAAGCATGATAGGGTTATGTTGAAAAGGCTTAATGATTCACCTAGCGTCAGTTACATGTGTCCTTCGGGGACAAAAACAACGCTCAAATGTACCAAGTCATAGCACTTAAAACATAATCTCCATCTGCTATCATTAATATGAGTATTGGCTGTACTGTGAGATAACCCATGCTATGAGACTGTCCAGTCTTTTTACCTGTACTATGCCAGTTCACATATAATTCAATGTATATGGGATTAGAAATTTATTTTAATGTGAACTCTGATAATACCATTATTGCATTAATTTTAATTTGTAACACCTTCTTAATCTATATAAAAGGCTTGAATTACAATTTAACCATTTTCATTCTCAAAGAAATTTATTGAAATATCCCATAATAACAATTAGAAAGCAATGTAGACTGGGAAGTAATATTCCCATGTTTTATATCATTAATTAGAGAGTAAGACCTCTTACCTAATATTCAATTTATTTTTCAAGGCTAACACCGCTTATACAGCTAAAGTGGAAAAGTTGATTGACCGATTCGAGTCAAAGATTGACCCCTTTGATCTTGATGTCTTCACCAGCCATTTTAACGCCAACTTATCAAGACACATTCATCGCAGTTCAGTAAGTGCGATGTTCCACTAATTACTTGTGCTATAATTATACCATCAAGGTATATACCTATCAATACTGAAAGCTTTCACAAACTTGTTGGTTGGCTTATGCCTAGGGTATCCTACCTCTGATTATATTTTATTGATTTTATAGTGGTTGCTAGCTCCCTAAAGACTGCAATTTGCAATATGACCCCTATCCTTTAAGGTTAATCAACTTCAATGAATATTCATGATATATTGTTTTCACATGTCTATATGTAATTTAGAATAATCAGGAAATATTCAACTAAATTCTAAATTAAAGTTCATGGCATGGTATTCTATGATAAACACTGCCTTCTAAGGTCAAAGTATGGTTTAAAAACATTTTTTTAAGAGAATACAATTTCAAATATCAACTTAATAATTTTCTTCATAAATAACAATTTGAGTAAATGACAAGTGCTCAGTCATTCTCTTTTGATATTCAGAGAATATACAAAAGAAATTTACACAAGCCAGTACACAGCCTGAATGGACAGATTAGCAATCAATGAAATTTCAAAGCACAAACAAGATTACATTATATATTTTTAAAAACAATAAAAAAGTTTTAAAACATTCAAGTTACAAATATTATTATTTCAGATATATTATTTTATATTAAATATACAATTAGTTGTATAACTATTAAAAGTTCAATAAACTACAAATATAACTATAACGTTTTAAATCCATTCAACCGTTGTTAATATTGAAAAATATTATTTCATTTAATTATACTGTAACTAACTTAAGACTTCTTAAATTAGATCATCAGATTCACTTTTATTTAATTTGTATTTATATATTTGAAGATTTTACTTGGAGCATTAACTAGCCTGGACAAGCATGTCTACTCTGGGCATAAAGCAGTCCAAGCTGGCCGACAAGAACATCACAACATACTTCCGTTGTCAACAAGCCAGGCTAGGTTCAACCTGCTTCCTCTCAGCTCACAATCCACCTTCACCCTGCCAACCAACATGCCAAGAGTTCCACAAACAGTAAGATGTGTTTATCTTTGTTGTATAAATGAGTTTTACAGTGTAACTTTTTGTTTTATTCAGCTTTAGGCACTAGGGCCAAGGATATGCTAAACAGTGAACTTAATCACTCTTCAAAGTTGCAATCCCGTCACATAGACTAAGTCTCATTATGAGGCTTAGGGGGTGGGGTTGTTTGGTCGGGAGAAAAAAATCCTGTTCTGTTCCAGGAATTGAACCCAGGATCCTGACAATGGAAAGCATCTCTGTGTATGTTTGTAGAGCTGTGTATTAAGAATCTCTCATCTTTTAAATCTTCCATTAACAAGGTTCCTCTAACGTCTCCTGCCTAATTGTTCATTTGCAGGGCCTAGCGATAGGATATTTCTTTTGCCCTGCACCCTATAAAAAAAATATATTTCCATATCTGCTTACTCCACATAAAAGTAATTAAGCCACCCAAGAACAACTTGCATTTTTTTTTGCAATTGTTTTCACACGTACTGAGTATTCAGTACATTTCCACGTCAGGTCGGGTAAAACTCCACCTATACTTGATTCTCCTGACGCAAATTCAGTTATTGTCTATTTAATCACGACAACAACAATTACTATAAGCTTGTGTTACCCAAAAATTCCACAATAAAATTAATCTATAACCAGCTATCTAGGGCATATGTATGCCAAGGATATTTCCTTCAAAGTGTAATAGTTTGTTTTTTGTACTCATTAATGATGAATTTAAATAGTGTATATGATTGATAACCATTGGTGACTGCACTCTGTATTTGCACTAATGATGTTTACAAGGTATCCATTCTAGTTAACAGAGATGAAGTAGATCTATGCACATCATCCCCACATTTGTGTAATCTTCAGCAAATCTGTTTTGCCTTTGGGACAAAACTTTTATATCATCCTAAACTCACTATGTCATTCCACAGTTGTCCTCCCATTGTTTTCCGCATAATAGCCTTTTGTGATGCCGTAGGTAGATTTCATTTACGAGTAGGGAATCATTTCTCACTGTCACCGTTCTTTGTGTCTGTTTTTTCGTTCTTTGTTTTCATCATCAAGGGCAGGAAATTAATGAATAAAATTGCCAGATTTGTTGCTGCTGAATATCTGTCACAATAGCGTTACATGATTTATATGTTCACAGACTTTTGTAAAAACAGAGTGCAATGTAGCATGAATAGGGATAGAACTTTCAACAAATGCGATGTTTATGAGCCTGAAGATATGATATTTACGATTGTGATATAAAAATGGTTATAAGAATGATAATTTACATTTTCAATCTAAAATGATAGATTTTTAAATTAGTATACATATTATTGTTGTTTTTCTTTTTTTTCTGTTTTTGGTATTACGTTATTTTTATTTTTGTTGTCATCATAATCACTATTGTTGTTTTGTGGTTGTTATTATTATTTTATAATTGTATTATTATTATTGTTATAACATTTATAACTTTCTCATTGTCACCCTACATATTTTTAATGTTAATAAGCTGGTAGTTAATCGTTTATATTAATACAGTTTGCATTTTCTAGATCATTTCAAAATAGTTACTGTACATGCATATTAAACAATCTTTTTACTGTACAGTTTAATGTTTTTCTTTGTCCTTAATAATCAATTAATAAATGACTGATGACACATTACTGTTTTTGATGTCTTTCATGCAGTAATTTGTAATAATATATCTTTATGTTTTTAGCCTCTTAGTCCATCCGCTTTCAAGTCTCCACCTGTGAAAGAGACAGAAAAATTTGCCACTAAGTCTGGGGCATTCTACTCAAGACTAGGTTCTCTGAAGACCAGTTGGCTAGCAAATATTGGAAAGGAGTAACTGCCAGAATTGAAGCACAGTAAGAGTTTGTTGTAATAATGTATATGAAAATAATATATAAAGTGCCGGCATACCGGCCTGGAAAAAATGTGAGGGCGCTGTTGAAAGTTTGCAATTAAAAAAATTTCCGGTGGTTGGGTTTTTATGATAAGGTACTGAAAAATGTTGTTGTTTTGATGTATGAAGACAGTCACGCATCATTTTACATAGAAAACGTTCTATAAGTCCTCGGAGACCGAATCGAGGCAAGATAATTTCATGGCCCATTGGTTGGTTTTCTTTTTAGTAGTTCATGATCGGATAAAACAACCGTGACCCCTGCAAGCATTCTGGGTTTATGTCTTCTGTTCGCTAGCATGATGGTATTCTGTGATCAGTAATACTTATCAGATACTCTTGATATTGGCAGAATTACACTTTTCTATCATTATATGAAGAAATAAAGATCCCATTGGAAGCATTCAATTGTTTTAAGGGTTGTGACCTAACCTCAAGTTCATTTTAATTTTGTGTTGTGTCAATTTCGCAATTTTAACTCAGAAATTGTTTTGGTTTCATTTTTATTTACTGTTTTGTTAAAAATATTTTTTGGTTTTACTTCAGTTCAATACAAGCTATGATGTAAATAATAATTGTTATTTATGATGATTGACACAATTATTATTTATATTTAAATATATCTGTTATTTGCATATTATATAAAACTTTTGATATTCAACATATAAAATATTTACATTTACAGATCAAGGAATATATAAATGTAACTGTTATTAAAAGATAGTTTTATGAATTTTAAAATAATTAATAATAAAATCTGCCTATTGATATAGAGAAGGGGAATTAACAATATAGAATTAGTTACATTTTGATTGGTATTTAACAGCTTATATTAAAAGGTAATACTGTAATTTGCATGTTTTTACTAAAACGATATTGGTGTATACTTAAACAATATCGACAGTATTAAACAAAATACAAAGAAAGCGATACAAACCATTATGGTTTGATATTTTAAACTTTATTTAATTTAGGGATGAATTAAAAAATATTGTATTATTAGAATAGCTGGGGAGAAATAAAATTATGATTTTGTGGAAAAAAATAGTTTTCTTGGTTTCTTAAACTGTGTCATACTTCCGTTTAAATTGCAAATCTATAACAAAGCAGAGTGTGATCTCATGTATTCAAGTCAGAGTTGAAGATGCTATTTGTGATGAGCACAAAAATATTGATGAAATAGAATGTAAAATGAATACCTGTGGGACGTTGATGAGATGTTGTGTCTTTTATTAGCTTTGCTTGACCTACATTCAGTAAAAGCATTGTGCATTATGCATGTCCAACACTTAATTTTGTTATCTGTACACTGCTTTTCTACTGTTAGGCCATTGAGACAGCTGCCATGGTGGGGGAGCAGTGGGTTTGACTCAGTGCTCTACACTTCTGTTTCTTTAGATTTTGGCTTTCAAACATCTCAACTCTCCACCCAGGTGTATACTGCAGGGGCAGATCCAGGATTTGAAGGAGGGAGGTTCAAATGTTTTGAAAAAAAACCGAAAATTTTTAATCCTAGTTGGCCGGAAATGAGCTCTCCCGAATTCTTAGGTGTCTTTTAGTGACCAAAAAAAAAAAAAAAAATCAAGGTTTGCCCCCTCTTGAAAAAGGTCAGGTAATTTTATCTCATTTTTATGTACAGTAAGTAGGTCTATTATGTGTGTATAAATACAAACAAAAAATCAGACATATTAAGGCAATATGTTATTATATTCCAATAATGAGTAGTTGTTTGCAACATCAAACTAAAAACAGTTTTTTGAATTGTATTTACATTAATTAAAGGTTAGTTACGCTAAGCCAATCTGTCAACCTATGCCTAGGTAGGATAGCATGCCTTTTGTAGGCAGGGGTCCCAAGTTGGAAGGACCCATTTCCGGGAGATTTGTTTAATGACATTGGGGGCGCTATATATACTATGAGAAAAAGTGAAGGTACCAAACTAAGGGCCATGCCCACCTCAGGCCCACCGTGATTGGGGCTGAGGTGATGACATTTTTTTAGAATAGGCACCTTTAGAAGCTCGGAAATGGCACTGTCAGACTGCAAAAAATAATCGGCAACCAAAATTTAGGTCTAAATAAAACAAAAAATGTGTTTTTACTGAATTTGCGGGAGATAAGTGAATTTCCATAATACAGTAATGTGGTCAGGGTCTGCTTAAGCAAATGAATCACTCTTTCAAGTCAGCTTCCTCCAAAAAAACATTTTGATAAAAGACTAAAAAGCAATGACATAAAATGAAATTCCAAAAAACAAATAAGAAATAAATTAAGAACATTCTGCAAATACATTAAGAAAATACTGCAAGCATGAAAAAACAAACACAATAAGAACTGTAATTATTATGAACACCCAATAGATGTTTTGTCTTTCTCCAATCTCTATACAGGAGTGGCTCCCTTGCAAAATATTGACTAGGCAGTGTAATGGTCAATATATTGGTCTATGAGGTAGTTGCTGCATGGCTGGCAGTATTCCTCAGGGATTGGAGGCCATTGCGCAGTATTCACCAGGGATCATTGCAAGTCATGCGTGTCTGCTACAGATCCCATGACTGTCTGCTCATGTATCATGCATATGATAGACAGCTTAGGAATGATTGATTGGCTTTAATATCAAATCTATGGTTACCTCATAATCACTCCTCCATAGGATCATAATAGAACTGTTTGTAGCCAAAATGTAAACGTGAACAGAAATATAATATGATTATGTGTTAATTAATGAACTACTTGAATTGAAGCTTTATGGTAGTGTGTAAGTGGCAATGTGGTATCCCAACTTTTCACCATAAGTAGTTGAAGCAGTGACGTATCTAGGGAATGCGCAGGGGGCACACGCCTTTCCAAAAAGTACTTGCATTGCCCCCACCCCAATAATCATGCTCAAGTAGTTAAAAATCACCTGAAATTACCTTATTTTGTGAGCTTCAGGTAGGTAATTTTTTTCAGCTAAACAGTATCATAAAATACAGGTTATTTTAAAATTTGAATGCAACAATTTCAAAATTTTTCCCCTTGAAATCCACTCAGACTGACCAGTCGTAATAACTTCTAATTGGCATTTGGTCAGCCTAGTTTGTCATTTATTAAAAACTCCACGATTGTTGACATGCTTTCGTGTTTCGCTGCGGGGATCACCTGAAAAAGCTTGGATTCAGAAATGTAGTCATGGTGATAAGTCCTTGCAATCTGGAAAAAGTAGTTTGAGATTTATAATGTCCATTTTCGTGTGAATTTAGCGGATGTGCACCGTGCTATCAGTACAGTTTCAAGAGAGAACCGGGAACAATTTTACTGTAGCAGTCTTTCATTCAAAATTGTATTTGGTAATTACCCAGCAGTCTCAAGGTAATTTGTTTGATATTTTGAACATAGTGATCATGGTAGTCTACTTTTGCTGTTGTATCTACTGAACACCACCACATCCTTCCTAATTCATTTTGTAATACTTGGTACCAATTTTCATTTGGATATGACCTTCTCTAGTCTTTGGTAGCTTCTGGATTTTGAAGCAGAAAATAAATGTGTTTTCAAGATAATTTTTTTTTTTATATTTAATAACACAGTGCATAAAAGAAAAGAACCAAATAACACCCAGAAATTTACTGTTTATAAAGATTTTTATATTAAAAAAATTATTTTTACACCAGGGCTCATTGGGGGGAAATTACATGAATCCACCTATCGTCAGTTAGATTAAAAATATTACTTTGCCGATCAACTAAAGTTATTGTGATTCCAATTCCACAATTTTTACCATCTTAATCCATAACACCTTTTTCCTTGACCACCACTAGGGGTTTCACTCTGGCCCTTTAGATCAGATCTTCAGTTAGACTTTTGGGCCAATAAATTCCTGTAGCCACCACTGGTGCAGATATTTAGGGATCGAATCCAATTGTTAATTTTTCATGAGGATTTGCAAGTAGTTATGTAGGATTTACACCTTGGAACTTGAAGGCAAGTAATGTTTTCATTTTGCTACAGCCCAACATGGCGAATCCGGTGGTTGGTGAAATTGGTGCCCGCCCCAAAAAATCTCTAACCATGAGTGTGAACATTTAAGCGAGTCGAGTGGCCGAGCGGTAAGGCAGGGGCGCCGCTAACTACAGCCTTAATATCGGCATTGATCCAGCCGCTCCTCGCCCAGGGTTCGGTTGGTAAAAACAAGTCTTCTCGGATAAGGACTTAAAATGGAGGTCCAGTGTACACATCTGGCTCGTGTGCAGTTTAAACAACCCATTGCATCTTTCGGAAGAGTAGGGGTTACCCTGATGCTATGGTTCATTTCAGCCCCTGTCGTTGTGGAATGATGTGATATAAGCGCCTCTGTACGGCTGCTAGGTAGTCACGGACCACGCCCATATGCAATTCAGCACAATGACACTGCAAGCTATGGATTATTCTGCCTTTACATTTACATTTTAGATGCATTTGAACTTGCCCCATAGGGCCATAGGTCCTGCCCCCTCAGATCATGTCCTGCCCCTCAGACCATAGGTCTTCCCCCTCACACCTTAGGTCCTGCCCCCTCAAACCATAGGCTCGGACCATAGGTCCTGTCCCGTTGGACCATAGGTCCTGCCCCCTCCGACTGTAGGTCCTGCCCCTTGGACCATAGGTCCTGTCCCCTCAAACCATAAGTCCTGCCTCCTAGAACCATAGGTCCTGCCCCCTCCAGCTGTAGGTCCTGCCCCTTGGACCATAGGTCCTGTCCCCTCAAACCATAAGTCCTGCCTCCTAGAACCATAGGTCCTGCCCCCTCCAGCTGTAGGTCCTGCCCCTTGGACCATAGGTCCTGTCCCCTCAAACCATAAGTCCTGCCTCCTAGAACCATAGGTCCTGCCCCCTCCAGCTGTAGGTCCTGCCCCTTGGACCATAGGTCCTGTCCCCTCAAACCATAAGTCCTGCCTCCTAGAACCATAGGTCCTGCCCCCTCCAGCTGTAGGTCCTGCCCCTTATAGGTCCTGCCCCCTCGGACCATAGGTCCTGTCTCCTAGGACCGTAGGTCCTGTCCCCTTGGAACACACTTCATCAGCAGCATCTCTGGTTAAGTGGAAAAAGTCAACCAATTTCTCAATGACAGATTCTCCTGTTAAATTCCATTTACATGACAGCATTGATTGGAACAAGTGTGTTTGCTTACCATCAAATTATTTTGAAATTAGGAAGAGATTTTGTATTAGGTTATTATTGTAGGTTAAAATATACATTATCATAACCATGTAATACTTTCTATCTATTTGGACCGTATCTAATCACAATGTTTACGATGTTATTTTGAATAAGAAATTTCTCATAAAAACTTCTTGAATAATTTACTTGTCCTAGTAAATTTTTTGTTGTATCATAAACAAGGTTTATAATAACAAGATCATGTCTTGTAACAGGAGAAGTAACGTTGATTATCGTCTGCTCACGGACAAGTTATTAGATACAATTTTAATCCTCACGAGGACGCCCATCATGAGTACGCTACCCCTAGTATGCCTCAGTAACTTGTAACCAATATCTACTGCTAATTGGCTGCAAAAGAAAATCCAATTGTCAGTGCTTCAGGATGGCATCTGTTATTACAGAAATAGCAAATCAACCGAAACAAATGTGAGTATGAATTGAATCAACCAATCAAATTCCAAGTTAAAGTTGAATGCTTCGGAAGATATGATTGTATATTAGGAGTATTCATATGTTAACATTATGTTTATATTGCGTTGCATCAATGTATTGCTAGTGCTCTGCGCAAATTTATTGATGTTTAAATCGATGGTCTGAATTTTGTTATCGCGTATTCTTGAACTTATGATTCAGCAGTCCGATGCCTCTTGGTTCAACTCTTTTTGAATTTGTTTAGTTTCTTTACAAGATAATTTGCGTTTCTCGGTATTCATTGCAACCTAAATATCCGTGTCATTATACACAAAATAGCAAACGTTCACCATTTGTTCTGTCTTTATATTGTCATTAATTTTTGGATTGAGTTTCCAATACAGGTAATTGTCTGACAAGCAAAATTTAGACATCATTCCTTTCACATTTATTA